ATCTCAACCCGAAGGTCATGATCCGCCATCCGCCGTGAGCTAGTCGGACGATCGCCGACTAGTCGAAGCCAAAGCCGATCACGACACGACCGCCGGTAACCCGCGACGACCGGCGATGCGACCTCACAGCCTACACGACCGATCGCCACACGGCCTGCCTGCCATCCGTTCGTGATCCCGACTTGGTCGTGTGCTGTTCCCAGTCAACCCGAATACGACGAATTCAAAAAATTTTAAGCCGTAGGTTTTGGACGTCAAACCTTTAGATCTGCTGCGCATAGGTTTACGTTTGGTATTCAATTCGTAACTTGTACATAACGAGATTGTTTGTCCCATTTTTGTTGCATTTTTTCTTGTTATTTTTTATTTCTTTTTCTCCCATATTAGGTCTTTTAGTTGGTTTTTACTTCATTTTGTAGTTTATTTCGTAGTTTGCTCTAGTTTGGTTTTTCTTGTGTTTTCGGTCGTTTTTCGGTTTTTATTTGTCTTTGGTGTGTAGGTTGGAAGATTCGAGAGTATTTATTTTTCATAATAATTGGACCGGGTGAACATAATTGAATAGAGCGTTTCGTTGGCGACAAGTAGAAAAAAACAGAACTCAATTCTGAGTTTGGACGAGTCCAAACGAGCCCGAGACGTAAAGTCGTGCGAGCTACCAACCAGCCTGCCTAGGTCCTGCGCCGCGCCATGCCAGGTGGCGCGACTGCCTTCAAAGACGCTTACCTGACCTCCACACCGTGCTATCCTGCTACTCCGCGCCCGCGGTCTCCCTCACGCCACGTCCCAACACCAGCACCGCGCCACGCCGCGACACGACTCCTCTCCGCGCCGCGACACTGCTCCTTTCTGCGCCGCGTCACTTGTCTTGCGCCGTGGCACCCTGGACCCTATAAAAGCCGTGCGCATCTCTCATTTTGTATATCTCTCGACCGGATGAAAACCCTAGGTCTGAGAAAAAGACCACAGAGTGTTCCTTCTTCTCCTTTTCCTTCTTCTTCTTCGTTTTTCTTCCTCTTTTAATCATTCTCTTCCATTTTTCTTCTTCTTCTTATTATTATTTAGAAATTAAGCTTGTAATTCGAATTCAACACTTGGAATTGGATTGATTGTAAGTTCTTCTCTCTTATTTAATTCATGAAAATGGTTGATTTGGGAGAGATGATTAATTGTGTTGAATTTATTTTACGTAACTAATTCTTATTGCTAGAAATAGGGGATGATTGTTCTTATTTAAAGTGTATTTGTCGGGCTTTGATTTGTTCATGCTTATGTGAGTTGATTGAATTCAAAATTGATGAATTTGTGCTTGATAGTTTGATATAATCAAAGGGTGACACTTCGATCTTGCAATTGGTAACGATTGAATATCGAGTTGTCGAGTTGGGTTTTGATGATTCTAAATGATTAGTTGATTAATATTGTTCTAATTGAATTAGCGACATTTAGAAATGAAAGGGGAGAAGTCGTAGACCTAGGCTCGCATGAGATAGATAATTTCGTAATTGAATAGTCTATAGGTTTTGGATTGAAATACGTGCTTGTCGATGACTCGTCCCTTGTTACTAAAAGTTATTGGGATTGGGATAATTGGCTTGTGTTGTATGCTCAAGCTTTCTCGTCTATGTTCAATCCCCTGTTACGAAGAGTTATTGGGAGCGAACCGCTACATGTTTAAGCAAGAGTGTCAATCTCGAACCAAACGATCAATTGCCCGGTTTTGCTAAAAGAACTTGAATTAATTATCCCCGACGCCCTAGCTTCTTTATCCTTGTTTCATCTATATATTTAGGTAGATTTTTGTTTTAAGTTATTTCTTAGTTGGTAATTATTCAGACCCCAATCTGATTAGAGTGTTTAGGATTTATTTTCTTTTTGTGTGTAATCTATACCAAACCTAAATTCCAAACTTCCTTCCTTGAGAGATCGACCCGGAGAACGAATCTTTGATTCCGTACTCGATAAGAATAACAATTTGTACACAAAAAATTTGGCGTCGTTGCCGGGGAAGGCAAGTAGGATATTTAGTTTTGGTGTTGATTTTATTTTCTGTGTTTCTCTTTATTTTGTGTTTTTCGTGTTTTTTTTCTTTCTTTGTGCATCTTTGTTTTTCTCTTTGTTTTTGTTTTTGTCTTCTTTCTTCTGTTTTTTCGTGGCTACGTGTGGTTGTTCTGTAGTGGTGTGCAGGTATTATGAACTACAACCTTGTGTTCCCCTATTCGCACACCCAACCTTGGGTTAACGAGCCGAGCTATCATGTCGGGTACCACAACCAGTCATATCCATACTCTTCCGAGCAACACTGGAACCCCTTTCCGGTCGAGCAATATTATGAGTCCCATGAGTTTAACGAGAACCTCGACTGTATCTATGCTTTTGCAACATCCCGGTTAGCTCAGGAAGAAGAGACCGCAACCCGGTGTGCTCATCTGAATCAGTCACCTCCATACTACGATTCTTGGGACTATGGCCGAACTTGGTCATATCCTTACGAGCAGCAGTGGGATTCTGTACCTGTCGAGCAGTCATATGAGTATTTCGAGGACTCTTCAGAGTATAATGCAAAGCTCGATCAGGCTCACTGTAACACCCCGCCTTAACTAGCTTTGACTTTTAAAAATCAGAGTTAATTTTTTTCGCTTTTATTTTCGAAATACCGTACGAGTTTATTTTTCAAAAATACTTTCTTAATCGCGGGATGCTACGAAAAACTTTCTTAACTTACTATCTCGGACATAAATAAAACATGCAACCAAACGAGCCACTACGGCGATAATGGAATTATACATGCAGTCCGTCTGTCTCGCACTGAAACATAGCGGAAGCTTAAAATGAATAATACATATTACACACATACATATTACATACAAATTCATGAATTTTAAAACATAAGATGTGTGTAAAAATGTCGACTATTCATGACCACGCTTGCCACGTCTGCTTACCCGGCACGCTGGACTCCAACACCTTAAATAAGAAAGACTGTGGGAGTGTGAGCACATCTGCATGCTCGTGGGAAAAACTGGAACTGTAATAATCTTAACTGTAAACATAAACTTAAAAGCAACATAAAATAAACAAGTTGTACTGTACTGTAAACTTTTCTTAAACTTTAACTTTGGTCAAAAGACCCTTACTCGGCCCTTACTTCGGCCACTCGTGTGCACACCATCCAGACACTAAGGCCGAAGCCCCAGCCAGAGAAATAATTCTTAACTGTTATTTTTTGAATTCATTCAAACATTATGATAATTTTGGGAATGAACCATTCAATTTTATCATATGCAAATGTGTGTATATATATATATATATATATATCATATGCAAATGTGTGTGTATATATATATATATATATATATATATAGTTGCAACGAGGAGTTCGAAATAGGATTGACTATCCTTGGAAGGGAAGGCAAAGAAGGACAACACAGTATTCCTCTCTCTATTTTATTTATCCTGGGCGGATGTCCGCTTTAATTAGATGCCCAATCCTCGGAGTAGGCGTACCTGACCTGGATTGGAAAAGAGTCCCCAACAATTCTATAAAAATAATATTTATACCCAAACAGCTTATGCAACACGCAACACTATTTACGCTACGCAGTGCAAAGACCAAATCGCGACGCATTACGCTATACATGTTTTAAAACACTGCTCTTATCTCTTAAGTAGTTGTTCACATTAGTTTGTCTCATTAGACGGTCTCACTGTGCAACCAACTCAACTTTCTTTGAACAAAGTTTTTCTCTCCCGCCATCGACCTAATTTCCTTGAGGTCGAGTTTCTGTGTCAGACTAGCTAAGAACCCTAGCTTGACCTGTTGGTGAGACTTTAGGTGCCCTTGATGTCTGATCGACCTGTCGGTCTACTTAGTTGATTCGAACCGTTCCTCGGGTCGTACTCGACCTGGTTAGTACCTAATATCAATAATATAGATGTAAAATTCAATGGAAAAAAATTATCTACACTATTTAACAATATTCCTTTTTATTATATAATAAAATAATAATTAAATATTATATGGTGAACAACAATAAATAAAATTGTTACTTTCCATAGTTTTTAAACCCGGCCCGGTAATCGACCCGGGTAGGTCCTCGGGTCACCGGTTCAACCGTCGGGTCACCGGGTCAATTGCTGAACCGGATAATTAATTTTAAAATTTTTAAAATTATATATAGAGTATTTTTGTTATATAAATATATATAAAAGTAACAAATTAAATGTTTTGTGTATAAAATTTGCATATTAAAGTGTTAATAATATGTATCTCATGATAAATATTTACCATATAAATATATATACATAGTTTTATTTTTAAAAAATAAAAAAAATATAAAAAATATATATGGACCGGGTTGACCCGGCCTGGTCAATGCCCCGGGTCGGCCGGGTTTTGATCGGGTCCTTTGTTGCCCGGTCCAAATACTCTACCCGGATCGGTTCCGGCTCTGGGTCGACCGGGTCCTGGGTCGACCCGCCGGGCCGGTCCGGGTCACAAAACAGTGTTACTTTCTCTTATATCAAGGGATAAATTTATATGCTAAAATTAAATTTTTATCAGTATAAATGTTTTAGTGAGATAATACATTAATTATTTTACAAGCTAACCCTAATATGCTCATATTTAATGTTCTGGCAAAAATAACAACGCTGGTTAAAAGATGTGGAAAAAAAACTTATAATAACCCTATTATTTTTTAGACTTAACGTTGATTAAAAGAGGTAGAAAATAGCTAATAACCCTATTATTTTTTAGACTTAAACGGACAAGACTGTGAAAATAACTCATTTAATATATATGTCCCGTGCATCGCACGAGGAATGTACTAGTTATATATATAAAGAGGAGCAACAAATCATTTAATTTTATTATCATACATTAAATTTTATTCTTCCTCCAAAATTTTCAGCATTCAGTTTCATTTTTAAGTTACAAAATAACTTAAGTATGGATTATATTTTATTTAAGAAAATTTATTTTAGTCTTCCGTTTGACTTCAAAAATATTGCAGTTGTAGTTTTTGAATATTCGTCGCATAGTAATACAGCAGAACACGTTTTCCCACTAGATTTTGGGTTTCTTTATTAGTGATTGAACGTTTGAGGAGAAAACTCTGCGAAATTCATCATCGTTTTTGTTGCTAGATTACTTTCTATTATAGGTTATTCCTTTTCGCTATGGGGAATTGATAATCTAAAATTTAATCATTACTATTTTAAAAAAAAGTTGTTCTTTTTGCTTTAAAGATTCTATTTTTTGGATTGAAATAGCGTTAAAAAGTTTGGTTTTCAGAATATTTTTCGTATCGTTCTTCTTGGGCTGAAACTTTTTCTTCTTCATCTGATCATCAGAGCCTTCTATTGTCAGGTCAGCTATTATTATTATTCCAATTCCAATATATTTCTTTTAATTGTTTTTTGAATTTGAGAATGCAGATTGAGTTGGATCATCTGAACTTAGAAAATACTTTTTGTTCTGCCGTGTTCAATAATGTGTTTGATTTTATTGAAGTATTTGGTCTTCCTAAATTCGAGATTAATTTTTTAGTTGGTATTTGAATGGGGTGACTTTGAAACCTTGTTAGTTCCCCACATTTTATTTGATTCATTTTTGAGGAATGAGTTTCTTGGCTTTCGGTTAAGCTTCATTTGGCTATCTGTTCTCTAGAAGGTTGCATACTGAAATACAATTTTTTGATCGAAACTTCTACTACAGATTGCTTCTTGTTTGTCGGTATCAAATTGTTTTGATTTAACTTCTGATTTCTTAAGAAGAATAGATGTGAGATCATAACTTTGAGAGAAACGAGGATTTGAAAGTCATCAAATTCAACTGGACAAGTATTATGTACAAAGCCTAGGTTCGAATGTCACCTTGTTTGCTTGTTAACTAGAGTTATTGAAATTGGGTTTGTTTAATTTTCTTGAAACAAATCAACTGGTTCTGGTATGAACTGGTTCTCGTGAGTCCAAATTCCAACTCTAATTATAGTTATTATTTAGACAATTGTTTTATCTAGTTAATTTGTTGCACTGAATACCAGTGCAGACAACAGATTATTTCTAATTTACTGTTATCTTGTTATCTCTATTTGTCTCAGTAAGTTATTGCTTGAACTAAACTGGACTTTTGTGAGGTTTTCCTGTCCTGTCCGATTTGTTATAGTCAAGTGAACAGAAAAAACCTGTGCTCAAGTATCAGTAGATAGTTTCAAATAGAAGAGATATATAGTAAAAGGCGCTAGGTACCTCCTTATTTCTTTCTTTGCTTCCCCGTTTACAAACTTCATCTTATGATTGCTGATTCTTTATTTATTTATTTATTTTTTATACAGGTGAAGTTGTATTGAGTATATCGATAGGTAAAGGTTCACCTAATGGGCTGGCTTAGCAAAATCTTCAAAGGTTCGAACCATAAAGTTTCAGAAAGGCGGTATGATTGGAGATATGGGGCAGATACTGTAGATAATCATCAATCTAATTCATTGGTACACATTTATTTCTTAGTTTTCTCCCTTGTTTCCTTATAGGTCTGACTAGCAATTTGTAGTCATCGCCGTCATTGTATGCAATTGGCTGTAAAGCGCATTAAACACTTTGGCTTAAATTTTGATATTTCTAATGCTTATTTATAACTACTTTTCCCAATACTGAAGTTTCAAAATTATGATTTTTTTTATTCTTTTAGTGTTTTTTAGTTTGTGTTAGTTTCCATTGTTGGAGTGTTTTATTCTACCATGTAGGGGCTTGTTAGGTTTTGTATTAGTTTTTTTTGTTAGTGCTATGTTGTTCGCTTTAGGCTGGGATTCAACTTTGTTACCTATTTGGTTCAACTAGTCTGTAATTAATTTGCTGATTAATATATCCACTGTTTAATTAATATAAAAAAGAAACATTTTAGATAATGTGCAAGAATGATTAAAACAGAATTCCATTTAAATGATAATTAATTGGAAAATTTCAGCAATCAAACCTCATTGTTTTTTCTCTTTAAGGACATGCATTGCGGATCTAAGTAAGCATAATCTGTTAATGTGCGGATTGAATTCTAATTGCTTTGAGTTACTGTCTTCACCCTTGTTATTGTAAGATGCTTTGGCCTCTTACTTTGTATGCATGTTGAATCTTTCTGCACAATGTTTATACATATTTGTATGTCGGTTTAGAATTCTTTGTCAGAGACTGAAGATATGGACCGTGCTATTGCATTATCTCTTTCGGAACAAGATCAGAAAGGAAAATCCGTGATTGGTAAGTAATATGTCTATCAGGTTGTTGGATTAAGTATTTTAAATATTCCTGATAATTTCAAGTAGTCGCTTTGTGGTTCATTCAAATTACAAAATGATCTAATCATCTTTAAGAATCGCAAGCATACCTTCCAATATATGTTTATACTTCAGAAATTACACCCTGTTGTGGGGGAATTGATTATAACAAATAGAATTCTCAAGGGGATATCTCTAAAGCTTCATTTGTGCATTTGTAATTTAAAGGAGAACTGGATTTTTTCTAATTATGATAAATCTTAGGGTAGTTTTTTAGTTATAATCAATTTTATCGGTAAAACATTTAAACTAGTCGTCCTATACTGAGTGATTTCTTTTACGGTTAGCAGTTTCTTACTACCTTCTATTCTTTTTAAATGTCATTTTGGTTCTATCAACCATTAACCAAATAAATGATGTTTTAGATTTTTTGTACATATTTTTCCATTATTACTCTCATTTAGCTAATAAATACACTACGTCTTTTCATATTCACTCCTCATCTTTTCTCAAAACATCCATCTCTATCTTCATTAATGAGGGTTTTTATTCACAAAAAAGAAAAAAGATTCTTAATTATTGTGCAGCTTCTCAAAACGACACTTATTATGAATAGGAGGGAGTATTTCTTAGTGGAGTCTCTTAGAGAAATGCATTTAATGTGGTGCAGATTGGGAGCCTCAATTGAAAGAAGACGAATTACTTGCCCGGGCCATTCAAGAGAGTTTGAATTCCGAATCTCAGCCTGAAATGTGGAGTAGAAATGGAAATGGATACGGATATCGATATGGATATGATAACCTTTACCAACCTATAACTATCCCTTATTCCACCAGCTTCAGGTACATACAACTTTTGAGAGTGCTGTATATATTTCGTTTACTTTTATGAGAACAATGATTATGCAATCCAAATCTGACAGGATATATTTATGCAGTTTTCGGGTGTAATTCCAAAAACTGTCACCAAGGATTAGCGTAATTTCGTAAAACCCCATTATGTTTCAATTACAAGTACCCCATTGGCGTTGGTTTCTCTTTTACAATATCAATTCTCAAATGGGATGTGTTTATTCAAGGTTTTGAAAGATAACTGGAGTTTTTTTTGTGATTACTGATGAGGCTAAACTTTGGGGACATTTTTTTATAACTATAATTCTGTACATTTCCTGGATCTCTCTTACATACCGATCAGATGAGTAAAAGAGTGTGTAGTAATTTGTTTTGCAATTTCTGTGGTAGGATTTGTGCTGGTTGTAATCAGGATATTGGCTATGGAAGATATTTGAATTGCATGAATGCTGTCTGGCACCCGGAATGTTTTAGATGCCGTGGATGTAACCAACCAATATCTGATTATGAGGTACAGAGCTTCTAGAAATGGCCTATGAACATATACTTGACAGTTTCGTTTTTCATTTGTACTTAATGGCTTTTCAAGTTAACTTTATTTATTATCTTGCTTTCTGTTTTTATTATCTTGTTGACATGCATATAACAGTTTTAGGGTCTAATTGAGTATCTTGCCAGAATCTGGTTCTGTTATCAACTTCTGTTATTAGTCGGTTTTTCTTTGACTTTTTGCTTAATCCCAAACTGTTACATAAGGAAAGTGACCATTGGTTTTAGTGAAACTGACTGACAAAGAATGGAAAAAGCATATTGCTGACTCCATTTTATATCAGTGAGCACAACTAAAACAACCCTCATAAGGCAAAATTCCTATCAAGTGTTTTACCATACTACGTATTTCTGCTATGTTATACCTTGAATGAAAAGTCCTCAGAGAAAGAATTTGCGTATATAGTAGGGAAATATCTTAACTAATCATGAATTCACACTTGAAATGAAAAATGTAAGAACTGAAGAATTGGTTGGACCAAATCATAATACTTTGGGTGGAAAAAAGCCGTTCTCGTGGTATTGTTGTATTCATTAATTATCAAAATAGCGATTATATTCAAATATTTTAATTGTAGTTGCATCTGGTATAGACCTCGGTAGTTTTACATATAAAATTAGACTAATTGAAGTCGCTGATTTTGTAATGCAGTTTTCAGTTTCTGGAAACAGTACATATCATAAGAATTGCTACAAGGAGGTTCATTATCCAAAATGCGATATATGCAGACACTTTGTAAGTGTTTGATGCCATTGACTGTTACATTTATTTTCTGTTGCAAAAATCCTTAGATATTGAGAAATCTTCCAACCCACATAGTTCAGGGGCAACAGCGTTGTAATTTCGTGTGATAACTGATAAGAATTTGTTATTTAATCTATTTTTTATCTGAAATAACAATTGGACGTGGAATGGAAAAGGCAAAAAAAGTGAGTCAATGTTGGTTTTATCTTCAAAACTTTCTTTTATTCTATTTATTAAGACATTTATTTTATAACTACAGATTCCAACAAATGCAGCTGGTCTAATTGAATACAGAGCACATCCTTTCTGGTCTCAGAAATACTGTCCTAGACACGAGCACGACGGAACTCCTAGATGCTGTAGTTGTGAGCGAATGGAGGTGAATTTGAATTTGTACATGTGAATCTGCGCACAAAAGAAGTCTAAAAAAAAATATAAGTACGAAGAAAAAAAAAAGTCTAGAGAAAAAGGGTAATTTCTATTTATAATTATAATTCGAGGGTTTTTTTCTTATTGCAGACATGGGATGCAAAATTTGCAATCCTCAATGACGGCCGAAAGCTGTGCTTGGAGTGCTTGGACTCGGCTATTATGGATACAAATGAGTGCCAGCTCCTTTTTTACGAGATACAGGACTTTTTCAAAGAATTAAATATGAAAGTTAATCAAAAAGTCCCGTTGCTCTTGGTCGAGAAGCAGGCGCTCAATGCAGCCATTGGCGAGGAGAGACATGTATGAAAATTATCTTTTGTTAAATAAAAGAAAGATGAACCTTTTGGAATAATTACAACTGCACCCTGATGTTCAGTTTAATTACAGAAAAAAGTCTGGTTATCTTCTAATATTACAAACACCACCCATGGTATTTTACTAATCATGCCATGAACGAAGGGTATTTGTTAAGGAAATTCGTCCCCTACAGAGGTGTTTATTAAGAGCTTATTGTGTAAAAGTTTGGAAAATTATATTGTTTTTATTTACTAAGCCAAATAAACTAAATGATCAAGAATAACTTATGCTTAGCATTTCTTGTTGTGTTACCTTGGCGAAGTGGCTCTGTAGATTTATATGAGAAGAATATGCATTAATTATTAATTTATGATCATAATAACTATAATTATTATTTTCTTAGCAGGGGCATCATCACATGCCTGAGACACGAGGCATTTGTCTATCTGAAGAACAAACAATCAGCACTGTAAGACCTCATGCTGTTTTCCATTTCCCTCACTTTTTTCCTCGTTTGTCAGTTGTTTTGTTATTTTTAGAGAAAGTTGCAATCTTAACTTATTATGTCTGCTTCTCTTATTGGACTATTTGGATCTCTAGATATTGGGGCGCCCGAGGATTGGAACTAGCAATCGCGTGAGAACCGAACCTTATAAGTTAACTCGCCATTGTGAAGTGACGGCAATTCTCATTCTATATGGTCTCCCAAGGTATTTTTTATTTTTTTTTTCACTCGATGATCTTTATCTGTTTTCTCTCTCTCTCTCTCTCTCTCTCTCTCTCTCTCAAAGTTCAGTAATTGCATTCATTCAGGTTGCTGACTGGGACAATATTAGCTCATGAGATGATGCATGCTTGGTTGCGGCTGAATGGTACGTTTCCCTTCCTTTCATCAAACCCATTCTTACTTATTTGTATTTTCTCTCATCTACTAGAATATTGTTCATTTTTTTTATCCAAGAAAACTCTTTTGTTGATAAACGAAAAGGGATATCATATCTAGTCCTTCACTCTCCTCTCCAGACTCTGCACAATTTTTAAAAGCAAAATCATATATCCATGCCCAGAGCAGGCAGAGCTCTCAAGGGTATTTCTGTAATTTCCACCTCTTTTATGTCGATATTGATATGTTTTACTGTGTGGCAACAGGTTTCCGGAACCTGGGACAGGACGTGGAGGAAGGCATATGCCAGGTCATCGCGAGTATGTGGCTGGAATCACAGATTCTGTCCATGTCAGACAGCAACCATCCGTCCACGTCATCATCGAGAAAATCGGGCAGGTCTCCATTTGATAAGAAACTGAGCAAGTTTTTCAAACACCAGATTGCAACAGATACATCTGCTGTGTATGGGGATGGGTTCAGAGCGGGTCATCAGGCTGTGCTCAGGTTCGGGTTGCAGAGGACGTTGGACCATATGCGAAAGACAGGAAAGTTTCCTCATTAGTAAATAAATAGTGACAGATTAGTTTTTCTTTTTTTATTAATTTTTTGATTGTTTTCTTTTTTTTTTTCTTTTGTATATTTTTTTGTAAAATTTGGGGTTGGCCTTTTGATTATTTGCAATTAAGGCTAGTCACTTGTCAAAAAGTTTGAGAATAGGTTTAGGGGATTGTTTTTGAATTTTGTATAGTTAGACTGGAGTCCTTNTTTTACGAAACGATAGATGATATTATAGCACTCAAACAAGAACAATGTTCAAATACAACGGGAAATCCCAACTAAATCCGAAAACGGAGACTGGGAGGACACGCAATAAGCGGCCTAGAACTCGAATACAACCTAAGACTCGAAAGACTTAGACTGCAAAATGACCAAAGCAATAACAGAATAAGGTACCTAGCCATTGCAGAAAGGCCTAGCTAGAACCCTTACTCCACAACCACAGACACATCCCAAGCAAAAGAAAGAAAAACAACACAGCAAGAAAAACAACACAATAAAAACAAAAACCAAAGCAGCAAGCAACCAGGCTAAATTGAGAGAGGAGAATTCTAGCCAATCCCTGTGAGCAGCTCTAATCACCACCGGAACTGAGAGTTTTGCATCTTCGAAGAGCCATAAATTCATTGATCTCCAGAGCCACCATAGTAGATATGTTGTCAGTTGTATCCTGTCCTCAGCAATATCTGATTTGTCAATGGAACACACATGCCACCACCAAGACTTGAAAGAGCAGTCTTCAATGCTTATGCCATCCCAATTGATGGGACCGATCTTCCACAGCAGTCGAGCTCTAGGGCATTGGCGGAGCACACTTCAATTGTTTCAGGAGCATCTCCACAGCAAGGACAGACCACATCAACATCCAGGCCTTTTTCAGTAAATGCATCTTTAGTTATTGTTGTACCCTATTCAATTCTCTTTATTATAATAAAACAGTTATCTTCATTTAAGAATCCAATGTGGGATAGGTCTCTTGCCCCTTCAAATCTCACAACCAACGTTTTACTTACCCAATTTGTAAGTTTTGAGAATTGGCAGTAAATCGTCGACACTGGATTGAACCTTCATCAGTCCCAGAATATGTACTGACCAAATATATGAGGGAAGTATTTTTGTTATTCCATTCTATTTAGTTCCTTAATATTGGTTAATTGTTTTTAATTAAATTTGATTACTATTTGTGCAGGGTTAACAAAGTATCCACAAGAGGCACTTACCATGTGAAGGAACTCAAACCAAGTGGTCAAACATTCCATATGTGATGGTAGCGGATCAATCAAGGGAACTTACCTTTTGTAGCAAGACTTGGCGACATAAACTCTTACTAGACTTGAGCGCGGCGTATAAGCCTTGGGATGAAGATGAAGGAAGTATTTTGGACAATCATCTTTTTATTCTTTGAGAGTTGTTCTTTAGGTTGAAACAAATTTTGTGAGTTTGATTTTATTTTATTGAGTAGTGAATTGAGAGGGTGTTCTCGTTCACGTTAAGTGAGTATTTATTTTAATTGAACTGAGTGTTCGGGGGGATCACTTAGAGTAGTTTCAGGGATTCTAACTAGAAAAACCACAAGGGATTTATGGTCGAAAAAGTAATAGTGTAGGTGATTATTTTAAAGGTAGTGGAGAGGGAGTCGACATTGTAAATCCTTTGAATAATGGTTGTAACATCTATGCTAATAAAAGAGTTCCAGAGGGAGAGCGGGATGCTCTCCTGAAGGTTCATGTTTTGTAGAATCTTTGCTTCCGCAATTGTGTGAACGTACATTCAAGATTACTACTTTTCATACTTAGCGCAATTCTGGTTTATTACGTATATCCCCCATAACTTCACCAGTAATGACTAATTTTAATTATTTATTATTCACTCATCGAAAATCAGCTTTGAAAAAATAAATATACCAAGAGTATTTACCCGGAATGTTGAATTTTTTTACACAATTTAATTCATCCTAAATTAAATATTTAGCTATAAAAAGACAGTCATTACCAAGTCAAACCCAATTTTTATAACTAATTATTTAACAACTCCCCACATGAGTGGAAATCAATGTACACATGTATGCCGACTCTTGTGCATCAGAAAATGTAGCTTGTAGCTTTGAACCTTTTGTAGCAAACATCATCGAATGTACTGGCTGCTTGGTTTATCCACCATATTGACTTCAAACACCACAATTGTTATATCAAAGTCAGTTAGTTCACCCGACACATGGCCATGTTCATCATTGTGGGCACTCGGTTGCACTCTTTTCTGCCTAACCTTCTTTAGCTTCTTGTAGTCCTTCGCTAGGGTTGTAAACAAATCGGATCAAAGCAAATACTCAGAGATTCGATTCGGATTCGTTAAAATATTCGAAGATTCGAATTCGTATTCGATTCGTTAACGAACTCATTTTTTGATTCATATTCGATTCGTTTAGAATATTCGAACATATTCGATTCGATTCGAAATTCGTTTTCAAAAAAATATTTTAATTAAAAAATATTGTAATTACAAAAAATAATTTTATTTTTCATATATTTTTAGGAAAATTTGTTAATTTAGGATGTTTTTACTTTTTATATCATAAAAATATTAGGAATATAACAATACATATATATTATAAACAAAATGTATACTATATATAATTTATAAAATTTATGTAATTATTGTTAACGAATCGAATATTCGAATTTCGAATAGAATATCTACAAATTTGAATTCGGATTCGTTTAACTTTTGAATATAAAACATTATTCGTATTCGAATTCGAATCACGAATATCGAATTCGAATATCGAATCGAATAAAAAAAAAATTAATTTGTTTACAAACCTATCCTTCGCCATATGATTCGTCGTTCCAAAGCTGTGGTCGTTGCCAATAAATTTCCCAACCTTGGAGAGCTTCTTTATCTTGTTATTCGTAAAAAGCTTCGCCTTGCTCGAGTTGCTTGCTCTAGCACGTTAGCACGAGCTTCCATCATTGGATCTTTAACCCAAAACTCATGGTTTTTCCTCTTCAATTCAGAGACGAACAACTAGATCATAAGACTCATTTCCTTCCTCCTATGATTTAGGTAGTTGATAAAGTCTTTCCAACCCAGCAACTTCTCAATCACAGCTGCAACATGGAATGACTCAGTTAAAGTCATTCCTTTAGCATGGATGTTGTGCAAGATCAGTTTAAACTCTAAAATTTGAGATAAGATTGTCTTAGAGTTGACTATCTTGAAGTCTAAATACTTGTTGACAATGAATTTCTTCACCTCGACATCTTCAGTTTTGTACTTCTTCTCCAAAGCAGTCCATAGCTCTTTGGTAGAACCCATCGAGGTATACACATTTTACAACTTGTTATTAAGTCTGTTTTAGGACATAGTTTTAGCAAAGGTCATTGTCCCCAAGCATCGTACACAATATGTAGTACATCATTGGTCATTTTCATCAATGACATGGGGGCTGTCCTTCAGGTACTTCACGAAGCCCAATGTGGTTTTGTAAAAGTGCATCTTCTGCAACTACCTCTTGAAACCAAAACCCATTATTTTTTATTTTTTATTTTTTTGTGTACTCTACAGTCGGTACATTGACAAGTACGAGATGAGGATGATGAAAAAGATTGTTGAAAGGTTGGTGAGGTTTGTGAGTTTGCTAAGCATTTGAACCATCTCCAACGGATACCATCAATTCAATATATGGATTATTAGTCATGACGTTGTTAAAAACTGAGTGTCAATTACACGAGAATCTTATGAACTGAAGTGTTTAGTTCTTACAGAGAACTAAGAATAGGAAATGAAATTATATCTTTAAGCAGAAAGATTAAAACCAAGGCGAGAAGATCTCTTTTCTTAAGACAAATACACCCCATATAGTGCTAATGGGTTAGTGCGTCTCGTCCGCAAAGATACAACGACAATTGTCTCAAAGGTTGTAGCACATCAGACTTCTCAGCTCCGATAAACTAGAATATAGATGAGAACTGAGCACATTTATGATATGATGCGTGAGGCTTTCATAAAGTAAGATGCAAATGATGATATGTTCAGTATCTGCAACTCTAACCATCTACTATTTATAAAACTTCCAGCTAAGGCTGGGAAAAGCAAAGGTCAACTGCCACTAAAGGCAAGTACCAACCCAATCATGGTTGCTGTAAAGGGCATAAAACTAGGGGTGGGCAAAAAAACCGAATTTCCCGGTACCGAACCGGACCAAAATGGTCCTGTTTCGAAAAATAGGGTTCCAAACGGGTTTTTCAATTTTCGTACCGTTCCCGGTACCGAACCGTTTGAAACAATGTCGGTATCGGTTTTGAATATTTTTGTCCCGAACCGTCCCATTTGTCTCGTTTTATTTTTTTTGTACAAAAATATTATATATATATATATATGTATATATATATATATATATATTATATACATTATAATTATATCTATGTTAGTATTATAGTAAATAATAAATAATAGTTTTTTGGATCCGTTTTGTCGAGGTCCCAATTGATACTGATCCATTTGGGACGGTGTCTCATCCCGAACCGTGCCTGGACTGGTTCATAAAAATGGGGCTGGTACCGGGATAGGTCAAATCCCGGACAATCTCGGACCGCGCCCACCCCCTAGGTAAAACTGCTTGACAACTTTGAAATGTGGTACATTTGATCTGATGAGGTGTTAGGGTATACTGTAAAAGCTTGAGTTTCAGTTTCTGACAATACCATTTTGAATAAAGATCATGTTTTCGTCGAGTGTATGTTTGTAGTTTATTTATTTATATGAACATAGTTCCTTTATTTTACATTGTAGATAATATGGTTCGATGTGTCAAACAGAACGATCATATTATCAGTGCCTTGTAAAATATAGATTAATTGTTCACAGCTTAGACGGAACTGAACTAATTGTCGTGAAAGGCTATAGTAAGATTTTGAATCAATTGGTCTTTGACTGATGAACTACACTAGTACATCTCGTATGTATCGGACGGACTTATGGGGATAAGATTATTTTGTACTGACCAAGTAAATAATCTAGATCTCAGTAATTGTTGTATTCTCTTGACCCATAAGATAATATAAATAGGCATATGTATACGGAACCTACTTATTTGATTTACCAAGGGTGATGCTTACTCCGGTAGGCCGAAAAACTTAATATTTTGGTAAGGGACGAGTGCATGATGTCTGGCAGAGATTATTTATGGTAACTGTGTTCCAGTTTGTGGATTGGTGACATTTCCAGAATGAGCTCAGTATGGT